GTAGGAAATGATCCAAAGGCCCCGTTCCAAAGACGTTCTCATTCTTTATTGAGTTGGCTTTCTATTCTTTTGTGCAGCAGTGAAAGTATCAAAACTGAAAAAGAAGCATTTATTAGATGATGCTGTTGTAAAAACTGCTGCAAAGCTTTGTAAAGAGAAGATTTCAGCTTACACCAAAGATGTTGAGGAGGTTTTAAAACATGATGATGTGGGAAGCAATGACAAATGTACTCATGATTCCCTTAAGCGACCGAAAGGTTACTCTCTTTTCTTTGCTAATGGTCCGCATTTTTTATTTTCATTTGATATTTATTTTGTTTCTTTCTAATATCTTGTGGTCCTGTGTTGCTTTTCCATGGAGCTCCATTTTGTATGCTTCAATTTTCTTATACATCCGGTTCTTATTTTTATTTGAGTAACCAATTTATCAAAACATAAAAAGGAAAATTTTAGTGACTGATATGTCCGCATCCCATTAGATGATGCATTCATTTGTAATAATAGAAATTTAGCATTTGCTTTAGTTACTATTGACTTTAGTGGTAGCATTTTTTTCCTTACCATCTTTGTCGGAAACAAACAGAAGTCCCTGCTGGAAAGATATTCTTTTCCCTTATTCGGTTGCTGTTTTATTCTTTTGTGGAGCAGTGGAGATATCAAAGCTGAAAAACAAGTGTTTATTGGATGATGCAGTTGCCAAAGATGCTGCAAAACCTTGCATAGAGAGGATGTCGTCTTGCACTGAAGATTTTGGGAAGGTTATCGAATGCCATGATGTTGTAGATTATAATAAGCATACTCATGATTCCCTTGGGATACCAAAAGGTTATTTCTTTTTCTCTATTACTCTTTGGTTTCATTTGACATTTCTTGGTCTTTTTTAAATTCCTTGTGGCCTCATGTCACTGTTCCTTGAAGCTCCATTTTGGAATTTCCACTTCATTTTCCTTATCAGTCAGTTCTCTTTTTCTTGTCTGCAGCAACCAAGGTAACAAAACCTAAAAAGAAAAATTTATTGGATGAGGCAGTTGTAAAAGATGCTAAAAAACCTTGTATGAAGAGGATGTCAGCTTGGGCTGATGATATTTGGAAGGTTGTTGAATGTCATGATGCCAGAAGTGATGATAAGCCTATTCATGATTCCCTCAGGATGCCTAAAGGTTATTATCCTTTTTCCCCCCTGTATTACCTTATCTTTAATTTTCATTTCATACATTTTTATTTCTTTTAATCTCTTGTTTTTATTTTTTCCGTGAAATTGTTTCTAATTTCTGCCTTCATTTTCCCACTATCACTTCTCTTTCTCTTGTCTGCAGTAGCTAAGGTATCAAAAACTTAAAGGAAGCCTTTAATGGATGATGTGCCTCATGTCATTTTCTGATGCATTGCTTTTTCTTTTCCTCCTTGCTATCTTTCCAGGGAGGGATAAAAAGTGCCTGCTGGACAAAAATCTTTACCTTTTTTGGTTGTTGTTTAATTCTTTTGTGCAGCAGTGAAGGTACCAAAGCTGAAAAGGACGCGTTTATTGGATGTTGTGGCGGTAAAAGATGTTGCTAAACCTAGCACAGAGGGTATGTCAGCTTGCTGTGAAGGTTTTGAAAAGGTGGTTGAGTGCCATGATGTTGAAAGTGTTGATAAGTGCAGTCATGATTCCCTTAGGAGGTCAAAAGGTTATTATTTTTTATCTTTTTTTATGTCAACCCTTATCTTTTATTTTTGTTTGATACTTTGTTTCTTTTTAATGTCTTGTCATCTTTTGTAACTCTCTTCCTTGAAGGCTCCAATCTTAACTTTATGCTTAATTTTTGATACACACTCCTTTCTTCTCTGCAGCAACCATGGTATCAAAACCGAAAAGGAAGTGTTCAACAGATGATGTATCTCCATCTCATTCTATGAAGCTTCTGAAAGTAGAGAATGGTTTTAGCAAGAAGACTGCATGTAAAAAGGTTGAGATTAGAAAGGCCAAGGCTAATAAATCTAGAACACTAAATTCCTGCCCTAAATCTGATGGATGTGCTCGATGTTGCATCAATGGCTGGGAATGGCATGCCTGGTCACTGAAGGCAAGTCCTGCTGAAAGAGCTCGTGTTAGGGGAATTCATTATACTCAGACAAATTATTTAGGTTCTGCGAGTAAGATATCTCAGTGGTCAGTTGTCAAGGGTCTTTCTGCAAGAACAAATAGGGTGAAGCTGCGGAATCTTCTTGCTGCTGCCGAGGGTGCTGACCTCTTGAAAGCTACTCAACTGAAAGTAGTTTAAATGCCCAGTTTGTCTTTGAATTTCCTTCTTATGCTGTGGTCCTTAAAAGTTTCATGGTCTTTTTAGGCAAGGAAAAAGCGTTTACGATTCCAAAGAAGTAAGATACATGACTGGGGTCTTATTGCTCTGGAACCAATTGAGGCAGAAGATTTTGTCATTGAATATGTAGGAGAACTAATTCGTCCCCGGGTGAGTTTGACTTTTTCTGTTTTAAGTTTAGCATCCTATGAGGTTTGTTTATAATAAATGCCTCTTAGTTCTATGTATTTTTTTTTTTCTTGGAGGTTTGGAGGGAGGGCTAAGGGCTTGATGCAGTTCCTTTTTGGTTTTGTGACCGGAGTGTTAGTTTTCATGAGAAGATTCATGTAGATGACTGTAATTATTAACTTGCTTGGACGAATGTTTGATGGTTTTGTTAATATTTGCAGATATCTGATATACGGGAGGCTCAGTATGAGAAGATGGGTATTGGCAGCAGTTACCTTTTTAGACTTGATGATGGTTATGTGGTCAGTGAGCAGTGTAAATGCAAGTCTTTAAGTTAATGTTTTTAGAACTTAGATATTGAATTTCTATAGACACCTGTTTCGTGGATGTTTGATTGCATACACATACTGGAAGTGTTGGTATGAGTTGCCTTTCTATTTTGGACGGACTAGATTTTCCAATTAGTTGGTTAGATTTTGATGATTGAGGTGAAAAGTTTTGTGAATTATTTAAACTGCCTAATCCTTCAAAACTTACATGCATTTCTTTGTCTGTGGTACTAAGTGCTTTCTAATGTGATTGTTAGTGTTTAATAGGTCAGACTTATGGAAGACAAGATTCATTTGTGACATCTTTGTTTTTACGTTTCATGCTCATACACAAAAAGTTAGTTCATTTTAACCGAGTGATGTAGAAGTAGTATGATTTGAGACTGAGACCAACTTTTCTTACGATTCTATGGAATTCGAACTTAGGCGAGAAAATAGAAGATTATAGATGAAGACTATAGAGGGAATAAGGGATTAAGGTGAAGAATTGAAATGGAGAAATAGATAGAACAAGATAGACTATATACCAGATAGAACGAGAATTATAGTTGAGAACAAAAAGAAGATAACTGGGAATAAAATAGAGGTGAGAATTCTCGACTTGACATTGTCTGCTGTTTAGGTTAGTAGCTGTTATGCAAGCACTAATTACATCTACAACTAATAAAGAAAATAAACATAGTGAAATATTATTTCTTACTCCTAATAAAACTCAAAATTTATCTAAATAACTAAAATGGATTGAGGATACTAAGTAAACAACTACTAATATTTCTTAATGCAAAATTATTCCAATTTAAGATTTTCTTGTTCGGTTCCATGCTCCTTTATTTGGGAAAAGCTCGATCTCAAGTTTTGAAGTGATGGAGTATAAAAAGATATGAACCGGCACTTTTTCTTTTGAAGATTATATGAACATGCACTTTTAACAACTCAAAAGCTTGAGATTCAGAAAACTTGAATCTCTATAAGAAAATAATAAGGTGGTCATCAAAACTTTTATATTTCAAAAAAACAGAGTTGGTCACCGAAACTGTAGATTCTGTAAGAGCATGAGGCAAAACGAAATCACTAACCCAATTTGCAATTAATAAGGACATATTGAAATAACCAAACAAAGTGAAAAGTATCTAAATCCCAATTAAACTCAAAACCTATCTAAATCACCTATATAAACTTAAGATAAATAATAATGACAATTATAAAAATCTTCCTTATCTCACATAATTATGATTTAAGATTTTGTTATTCTGCATCACCAGGTAGCTAATCAATAACTTTCAACTTGCATATCTTCATAGTACTTTTTAGGATATCATTTCCCTGCATATGTTGCAAATTGGAAGCTTTGCTTTGCAAAATAGTGATGCAAAACAAAAAGATATTATTTTGCAACAAACTTTCAATTAGAAAAGTTCTCTATAACTATTATTATTTTGTATTTTTAAGTTATTTTGGTTATTTAGTTTTATTTAGGTATTATAATATTTTACTTTTCTGTTTAGTTAGATCTTATTTTTATCGATATTAAGTATTGTAAAAATTAGAATATTTCAGATTTCTTTTTTTATAATTTTTTTAACTAGTTGTAACTAATATTTACACAAAAGCTAATAGCTATCAGCAAAGGTACTATGTTGACGATGAATTAAGACTTTTTTACTGGGGTTTTATATCTTTCTTATTGTTCTTCTAATTATTATTCTGCTTAACCTATCTCGTTCGCTTTGCTTCTCTCTATATTTTTTCATCATTGTCCCTCATTTTCTTTGCCTATTTCTATTCTTCTGCTTCTTAGTTTGTTGCGTCTGCAATTTTTTTAACCCCTCTTTTAATATAGTAGCTGCTCACTTTATAATTGCTCCTTGCCTGTAGGTTGATGCGACAAAACGTGGTGGGGTTGCTAGGTTTATAAACCATTCTTGTGAGGTAAGATACAAGTTCTTATATTTGCTTCAGGTTATTGAATAAGTGGCTCTTGTAATTGAAATACTTGATTTATTTAAAAAGAATAGTAATTGAAATACTTGATTTTCAGCCCAATTGTTACACGAAGGTTATAAGTGTTGAGGGGCAGAAAAAAATTTTCATTTACGCTAAGCGACATATTGCTGCTGGTGAGGAAATTACTTACAATTACAAGTTTCCTCTCGAGGAGAAGAAGATTCCCTGCAACTGTGGTTCTAAAAAGTAAGATATTAGGGCATTAACAATGCTGTTGATGTGTTTAATTATCTTTTCTTGATTGCTTCTTTCTTTGTATAATGGAGTTCTTTCCCCATCAAAATTTAAAGAGAACAAATGACAGCTAATTATAGAAGTCTTTCTTGAGGAGGGACTCAAGAGGCATCAATGTGTTGAGGTTCATGCCCCAATTTGTTAAAATATTCATGTTGTCAAGCTGTTTGAGCTGGCTGGTATCATCCCATTGAAAGAATAAAAAACAAAAAGCAAAAGACAAAAAGAGTTGGGTGTTGTATCTGTTCTAACAATTCTTGTTTCTGGTCAGGTGTCGTGGTTCATTAAACTAGAAGTAAATTTTGTTTCCTTTGCAGGTATGCTTAAGCATAATGATTCTTTAGGTCAAGATTTCTTTGAAGGTTTTTTCTTGTCTACTTACTACATTCTTTTATAGGGCCATTATCTTGGGTTATGTTATCACATTGTGGAGTTGGCAGTAATTGATGTCCTAGGTATGTGGTTATTCTTAATCTTTTATATCTTCTGATGTTGCTGTGACATTGTCATAAAGCCAGCCATGTAATATGTCAGTTATTGACCCTTGATTGAGCTTTGAAGTTTTGTTGCCACATATTGATCTGCTATTTGTGTTTCTTTGTTCATTTTGGAGATCTGACGTACATTCTTGTGGATAAACCTGCATAGAAATCTCAAAAAATGTAAAAATGTTTGGTTAAGTATGCTTTTTGGTGATGTTCTCTATACTTCTATAGCATGCTGAGGTATATTTTAAGGGGGAAAAACTGAGATGTAAGTATCACCGAAAAGAGTTGTCTCAGTTTTTCCCCTTATGATATACCTGTGTTCTTTTCTGCTTGATTTGAAATATCAATCTATGGAGTAACATCATCCTTCTGAGGGACCTGTATATTTTATTCATTTTTTTCCCCTCAAAATGTTGCAGATTTTATCTGCTCCATTTCAGATATATCAGTCTATGAACTAGCATTTGGCTATTCAACTGGTCTACGAATGACTAATCAAGTAAGGATGTGCTTCATTACATAGTGTAACCATAGCTTGTAGTTAAGATGCTTGTAGTATAAGCCATTTTAAATCTTCTTTTTTTTTTTTTTTTTCATTTTTAATGGTTATGTGTTTTTTGTTTTTGTTTATAAACATATATGATTTAAAAAATTAAAAAAAAAAGGCAGAACAGTTTTCTTAAAACTACACAAGATCTTAGTTTCTGGTATTAATCTTATTAAAGGTTTGATAATTGATTTTAACAAGATGTGTGTGCATGAATCAATTACAATTGTGTGACCTAAGCTTCTTCTTTTGTCCATAAAAAAAACCTTCTCTGTGGGATAAGTTTTTAACTTCTTTTGATTTTTGGTTAATATAGTGTAGTAGCCATCCTTTTTAGGAGAAGCCTTAACCCATTGGACAAGTTTTTCCACTCACCCATCTTATAACTTGGCACACTTGTCACTTGAGTAAACTGGTGGTTCCTTTTCTTCTCAAGATGACATTCAAGTACTGGTTGACCCTGTGTAGGCTTTAGGATTTAACCATTTGCAATTGAATTCAAGAGTTGGCTACTATGCTGTTGAATGTGGTAATTGGTTCAATAGTAGGGTCCTTTTTGTTTATAATAAGTGAAGAGCCTTATTCCTTAAATGATATATGAGCATTGATGCTAGTATTATGTTGTTTCAGGTTATCCATCACGATAGTCAATGCAGATTGGAAATTTTTAAAGGCTGGCCTATAACATCTGGTTTGTTTGTCTACATGTGGAAGAAGAATTACTTGACTCATATCCGTTCTTGTAGATAGCTCTGTTGCAGATGAGTTTCTCCTCTTAGAAAACTGTAGATCCACTTATTATTTTCTTTGCTCACATGAGAACTTTTTGGAATACTAATTCTTTTGTACAGACATGCATTGTTATTTTATTAATCAATATAAGAAAATATACAAGATGAATTATTCAATGATTCTACACATAGAAAATTGTTCTGTCTGTTACACCATCTGTTTATTTAATTCCTAAATTTCTGATTTGATCAACAATTAAAGCCACTTCTTTATGAGTTTTGGGACTAAGTCATAGAGATGCACTGATGACACGGATCTGAATTTACTTACTGCTTGTGTACTTTTCATGAATGGCATTTGTTGAGTGCCATGACTTTATGAGGAGCCCGTCAGTACACTGTGATGCATGGTTTTAAGCTGAGACTTGCTGCGCGCTCTTTAAGTGTAGTTTAACATTGTTATTCTTGTATTAGTCTTAACATGAATGCGGAACATAATTTGTATTTTTATTTGCTGCCACCTCTATTTTAAATTACTTGATGGTGGGAATTCAATTGTTATGTTTGAGTTCGTACCATCAAGAAATTCAAGTTATGCGAATGCTAAAGACTAATACGAGATTTATAACGAGAAATTGTCTAGAAATGGAACCAAATGCAACTTTTGGTTGCATGGGGATAATGTTGGTAAATATCAAGGTAAATTGTCGTCAAGTTAGTGCGATAGAATAAAATTCCTAGGCTTTAACGGCGATAACTTGTTTTGAAAAATTGAATTTTTTTTTTCTTCTGTGAAGAATGAAAATTAGTCAGCAGCTGCATAGGGTGGGTGCATCTCAATACATTTGATTACTAATGTTCCGCGTTATCTTCTTCACCTCTGCACTTCCAAACATTTATTTATTTCTTTGGTTGCAGGGGTAGATCAAATTAGAATTACCACCCATGGCCGTCGGGGCAAAGTTTCTCTTTATGCCCTTTGGTACGTATTTTCTTATTTATTTATTTTCTTTATTTGAGTTTATCAATTTTTAGGCCCAGTTGCTGCAGTGAAAGGATTTTTGAAAATTAAGATAGGTACCTTTTTTTTTTCGTTTTCTTGAAAATAGAATATCTTGTGTAGTTTGGATATTACTGCAGAAAATGTTTTTCACCAATTGGCATGCAAAACATCAAAAGTATTTTGGAAAGAATATGCTTGGAAAACATGCTAAACAATAAACATAACACTTCGTAATATTTTATGTTGTTTCTTTAAGAAGCTAATAAGATAATTATTCAAAATTATAGTAGTTGTATGCTCATGTACAGATTGTGTTATTTTTGTAAGCAAAAAATTAATGAAAAACGGTGGAAAAAATCTGCCAATAGAAAAGAAAAAAATAGAGCATTACCAAAAATGAGAAAGGGAGATGGTAAAAATGGTATCCCAAAAAAAGAAAAGAAAAAAGAGGAACACATTTTGATTTGGGGATGAAAGAAACGTATCAAGTATGTGACTTAAAAGTTTTTTTTGTTTGGGGATGGTTTTTCTTCATTTTGATTTGATTGCAGGAGTTCTTCCAGTTGATTTTTCTTGTCTTTAATCCAACAATAATTATCTTATCTTTAGATTGAGTTTCTAACTTTCATCAAGTCATTTTGTGTGAACCAAACAGAGCCGTGGTTGAAATTCCTTGAATTTTACAGCATTAAAATCTTGGCTGGCAAAGCAAGCAAGTAAAATGCCAAGAAACCCTTAAATGTTTCTGTAAACGAGTGACACCCCTTGGTGCCAATGATTTAATATTTTTGTTATGCTTTTTGTTTAAAAAATCATGAAACATAAAAAAAAAAAAAAAAAAGGAGGATAAAACTGCCAAAAAGTTTCCCTTCTGCCAAGAGGAGTTAAAATGAGAAAGTCTTGTCAGAGTGCTTCTCAACCTTAAGTGTTCATCACTTACGACTGCTTCACAATTTCACCAAATAATTGGTAGCCACTTGTGCTTAAACAAATAGAGTCGGTATATTTCCAAGGACGATTTTCTCATAGTCAAGTAGACTCGGTGATAATAGTTCTCATGAAAATGAACACCTAATAAACAGTAAGTTACAACCAAATCGTCATAATGGGAATGTACCCTACGGTAAAAGCTTATATATATATATATATAAAATATTTAAAATTTTAGGTTTTAGGGTTAGAACTACTGTACTTAAATACCCTTCATTTCTAGCTCTATGCTGCACGACATGATTATTTCCCTAAAAAATGACATAAAAACCAACGGCTAAGAATGAAAGAGAACGTACCACACAGGGTTGGGAAATGAAGTTACGGTTTTATATTTATTTATCATTGCACCATTGGAAATGCATTAAAATTAAAGATGATGTGAATAAAGCTTGGTGTGAGTGTAATTGAGGTATTATTATAGTGCTATTGATTTTTCAAATGATCCCTTTTTGAGGAGGTGGTAACTAATTTCAACATGAACTGTGTGACAAGAAATGTTTGCCTTCTTACTAATTACTATATGCAAGTAGTGTTTGCACAAATAGTACTCTATATTAAGAGCCAGCTGACATAATTATTCGCATCCAATGCGATGGAGATTCGATCATCTCAAAAGGTAACAAATCTGAATCCATGGGATCTATGCCCCTCATTTGTACTTCAGGATATATATTTGGATTTAGTAAATTCTTTTTGTAGAAATTATTTAGAATGATATAGTTTTTATATTTGGTTCAAGCATAAGAACATAGAAACCCAATCTAGGGTTAAAACAATTCTTTTTAAATTACGAATTTGGTTCTAATCTTCTAATTCTATTTGAAAGACCAGAAATAATTTTTTATGTTTGAACTAAATATAAAAGTTAAAAGATTTCTAAATAACATTACAAAAATAATTTATTTCTTTCGAATATATCCACAAGGTCTAACTTTTTATCATATGTTTGGGTTTGGACAGGGTGGTCAAGAGAATAGAAAGAATTTTCTTAGGTTGGAAGGCCTCGATGCGCTAGTATGTGTGTAATGCTGAAAAAGTCCAATGTACTAAAATTGATCTTAGTTTCCCGTGATGCCTTTTCTATTCAGGTTGATGGTACCTTTTTGTTAAAGGGCACAAAATTAAGTGTTATTGTTGGTGTAATTAAATA